ATCCGAGGCAGCCTTGTTCCCATTTCACAGATGAGAAAATGGAGGCGCAGGGAAGTGACTGGCCTGTGGCAAGGCTGGGTTCAAACCACGGTCTGTCCCATTCCGAAGTTGCGTTTCCCTCCCTTACTGCGTGACACTGGCTCCCCACAGACGCATAAAGGGCTTCTTTGTGAGGTGACTTCAGTATCTTCTTTTGTCAAAGCCCACCTCTTGGTTTCTGTGTTCCCTGATGAGAGGCCCTCCTCTACCCCAGGCGCCACCCAGCATGGCACAGCAGGAGGAGGACTTGTGGAGAGTGTTAGAGCTTTTTCTTTGGAGGAGCACATTTCCCCCACTTCAAGGGGAGGAGCCAGTCGACCTCGAAGCCCCTGAGCCCCCAGGGAACAGTCCAGGGCAGCGAGCTGGAAGGCTGGCCCGGGGGGGCACCGGGGGTGGGGGCAGGCCGGCTGGGGAGCAGCACAGCTCCATGCCCAGCCGGGCCACCCTCCAGCTGGTTGTGCAATCTTGCTATGAATAGGTCTAGGTGTGTGGTGTGGTGCCAAAGAGACCAGACTTGTTTCCTTTGGGTGACAACTCCCCTCTGGAATTCTGGGAGGTGAGGGAGTGCAGCTGCGAGGTCAGGCTGCTGACCCTGAGGCTGGGCGGTCCAAGCTGGTGGCGTGAGGGGAGGAGCCCGTGGCCAGACTGGATGGACAGGTTGGCAGCATGTCTCTTCAGCGTGCGGGCACAGGGATGGGTGTTCAACTGTGAGTGCCTGCAGCGCCTTCACCATCCCTAGCAGTTCCCAGCGGCCCTGAGTCGACCTCCTAAGCCCCGTGCCCGTCCCCAGGCCTGTCCTCACCGGGCCCTCATTAACTACCTTAAAACACAGGGGCTCAGAGACAGAAGGAAAGGCAGACTTGCAACCTCATTTTTAAAACATTACAATTATGAGGCAGTGGGAAATCAAGAGATTCTTAAGATTTTGTTGGTGGTGTGAGTTGGTACATTGGAGGGCAATTTGGTCAATCTCTATCAAAATTGGAATTGTATATATACCCCACGACCCAGCAATTCCACATTTGGGCATGAATCCTACAGATTCTTGCATGTGTATGTAATACACACACACACACACACACACATATATACATGTATATATACATACACACATGTATATATGTGTATATACATATACATATATATGTGTATATATATACACACATATATATATAGTTATTTACTGCATCGTTGCTGATAACAAACGTTCAGAAACAATTCAGTGTTCTGTGTCTATGCACAGGGGACTACTGGTTAAATGAATTATGATACATTAGCACAGTGGAATACCATACAACTATAAAAGCACCTTTTCCATGTGTGAGAAAATCATTAATAAAAATAAAGATAAAAAATCATTATACACCAAAGGGTGTATAATGTACTGTTTGTGTAATAAAAAGGGGAAAACTAGAATCTGAATTTTAACTGATTGTAGGTGTACAAGAAATTCAGGAAGGCTACAGAAGATTAGGGGTGGGAGGAACTAGAGAACCCAACAGGGATGAGAAGGAAATATTCCGAGGGTACCTATATGCTTTCTGGCTTTTGCATCATGGGAAGGCGCTGCCTTTCGAAATATTAGAAATACAGTGCAACAAAATGAAGGTACTTCTGAAAAAAAAATTCTATCATCCACTTTGCCAGACTACAATGGACATGTCCCACATGAGGACCCTCTTCCTACTTAGGGGCGTCACCCACTGGGTGCGCCTTTGTGGAAGGAGCCCCTGCTACCCTGCTGGAATGGGCCATGTTTCTGATGCCCCCTGCCAGCTGGGGCTTGGGCAACAGGCAGCTCCACCGCTCTCCCATTTTGAACGTGGAGCGAAAGACCGAAGAACAGTTCTAGATTATTCATGGCAGCAACACAGAGGTCCTGAGTCCAGTGTTAAAGCCAAAAATGTCCAGGGCACAAAAATTATTTCAATTTTTGCATATTACCTCTCAGTATCTCTCTCCAGCCATAGTTTACACAGGATGCTCTATTTTTTTTCTTATATCAAAATATAAGGTTATAAGAGCAATAGGAAATTAGAGCTAAGAGTGTAAACAATATGAGCATTTTCTATGCATATGAAGTTTCCATAATTATTGTTTTAATAGGTACATAATATTCCTGTGTTCTAATTAAGTATTTCCTACACTATGATATTCAAGATATTAACAGAAGAAAATCTGTTAGCTCAGAAACCCAGTTACGAAGGCACAACTTCGCAATACCAGTTTTCGGCCAGATTCCTTGTACACAGTCGGTTCTCTTGTGATCTCCACTTTGGCTCCCCAAGGCCCTTCTTTCACATTATTTCTTATTCCTTCCATCCTCAGAAGAGGCGGAGTCAAAGCTAGCCCCTCCACCTTGGCTTTTGCAAAACTACATTTATAAAAGTAACAAACTCCCTCTCTGATAAATTAAAATGACACACCAGGCGGAGAGTTGAAAGTTAAAGTCTCTTCTCTGTCCCCTAGACTTCACCATTACCAAGTTTCTTGTGATTTTCTTCCTTGATCTGGCCTTCTGAACTTGCCTGGACAGTTACAGGGGTGCTGAGTTACGGATTCCTCAGCTCTCGGGGCAGCCTCTACGGCCTGAGACCTGGAGCAACTCGTTTTTATGTTTTTATATGGTGTGTCATATAAACATCATTTTCTGTGGGTGATATGCTGCAAAAATAGTTCTGGAATAAACACGACTTCTTTTCTCAACATCCTTCCCTTCCAGGACCCACCCCCACAGCGTGGCCGAGGGCCCTTCCTCAAGGCCCACTCTGATTGGGTCTCTGCCCCGCTGGCTTCTCCGAGCAGAATCCAAGCCAATTGGTCTGGAATTCTCTGGCAGCTTATTTCTCTTGACTGACTGCTCACCTGTTTTCTTTGAGCTCTTTAAGGTCCAAACATGCTGTTTCCTGAACACGTTTCAGTCTTTCCTGCCTCCCGCCTCTATCCCTGATTCATCACTTCAGCTAGAAAGCCCAACCCATTCCTGCCCTTCTGTTCAAATGCTCACTTCCTCTGTGCTACCTGGGCTCGGATCCCTCTGTCCCACCAATGTGCCGTTGGCTGCGTTCACGGGATTCACTCAAGAACTCATGCCAGCAGGCCTCCCTCCTTCAGCCCAGCCCACAGCCCATCTTCCTGGGACAAACACAGGGCCTGGCACATTGTAGGCGCTATGGGAGGAATGAATGGAGGATTCACAGAGGTGGTCCTGTGCCCATATAAGGGCATTGAGATTCTTCTTCCCCGCATGGGAATGGTGATGTTTGTGCTGTTCACAGCAAGTCCTCACAGAGGAAGGACGCAAAAACAAAGAGTGCTGAGCTGTCACTGGGGCAGGCACTGGGCAAAACTGCACCCGTGCACACGATCTCATTTCTTCAGGTCCTAAGTGCTAATAGTCTTCTCCTAACGTTCAATGAGGAAAGCCCAGGGTTAGGACCCCTCTTCTTCCAGCTCCAAATGTGTCCAGTTCTCTTTGAGGGAGACGGAAGCAGAGCTAGGGTGGGCGGGCCCCTTTCTGACTGCTCCTCTCCTCCTCAGCACTTCAAACTCCCTGCTGGTTCCCACCACGGGCCTCCTCCCACTTCTGCCCCCGTAGCCATCTCCCTACCTCGCCTTGTCCTAGGTGAGGCGCGGGGTGGGGGTGTCTGGCAGATAGTGGCTATGACTTCTACCTTCCTCCAACTTTGACTGCTGTGTTCCAGCTTGGTACATGTCACCTTTGCTGGCTTAAAGGTTTGCCTTTGTTATGTGGGCATCCGCAAAATCAAATCCCTGAAGTATTTTAGAGATTAGTCCACATTCTTCCTCTTTTAAACATCAAACAGAAGCAGGGAGTCAGCAAGAATTAGTTCTTTATTTGTCAAGGTGCGGCACATAGAATATGCTAGAATACCGACTCAGGGAGGGCGGGGCCCAGCTCCTAGTTCTTAGTGCCCATCACAGAGGGTCTGGCCCGTGACACACTTGAGATCAACTTAGTAGCTGGTGATCGTCAAAACTTTCATTTTTACCTGGTTTGGGAGCATCGTCTACTGAGAATCTTATGATAGCTAATGTTGAATTTCCATCTTTAACCTTTAGGGAGACAATCAAAATTGGGAAGCAATCTCCAAAGAAATATGTCCTCCCAGTTGGCTTGCATGTTAGAAGATGGTGAGGCTGTACCTTTACAGGTAATTAAAACAATGGTAAGGACCACCTCATGAAGGTATGCCCCTCCACCAATGTAGGTGTTATCCTAAATGGCAAACTTTAAAATCTTTTTTACCTGTGTGATCTGCAATAGGAGTCCATCACATGGCTTGGGATTTTGAACTCAATTCAGGGGTGGGGGGTGTTTCTAAAAGCTGAATCATTTTTATAATGTCTGTTAAAATAAAAAACACAACCCAAGCTACTAGGAGTAGTTTTACAATAGGGCAGAGTCCCCCTAACTTGACTGAGAGGCCCCCTCTGTGTATACACAGAGGAAACATTTATACTGTTCCCACGAGGAGCCCAAAGTATTGTGTTTGACTTTCAATACACAGGAGGGCACTGCTCAAGGCTGATGTTCGTTGGTTGGACTCACATGAGGACTCTCATTAGCGCCAAAACTTTGACAGTGCAAAGCCTCTGATGCTCTGAAGGCAGAGAATCTAAAACTTGCCTCCCAACTTAAAAGCTCCTCCGGGGTAACATGACGCAGTGCACACCGACAGTGGCCACCGGCCACCATGAACCACGCCTTAAATCTGCTTTCATTATATTGGTTGTCCGTGGAGGTCAAAAGTAGGCCCGAGAAAGTTTGTCAGCTTCACTGAGTTTCAAGATCTCATGATCCGGCCCCTCAGTTTTGTTCCTCTCCCACCCTGCGAAGTCCTTCCACAAGAAAGACCCTGAGATAAACTCAGCGATTTCATTTCTGGGGTTAAAGAGAGGGGGAGGGGGAACAAAAGACTTCTTGGAGTAAGATAGAGTGTCATTGATGCTTTATTTACATGCGTCACCATCTCTTTCACAAACTACTGTTTTAAATGGAATACACAAGGCAATATCTACAAACACCAAGGAAAGTTAAGTACTGTATCTCTATTTCGTTTGGAAAGGGGAAGATTCCCAAATCAAACTGGCTTTGATTCTTGAAAAGAAAGACCAAAGAGTTAATTCATGGCAACAACGGTTAGACAAAATCCTCAGTAAGAATGCAATGATAGTATCGGCTTTGAGAGGAAGGATGAGGCGCTTCAAACCAGAGCATTGACTGCTTGACTCTTGGGTGTTTGAATATGGCCATGCACCATATTTACTTCTACTTGTATGGGGTATGAGCAAGAAATCGAAACAGATAAGACCGTTTTACAGATACTGTATAGAGATTTTCCCCCATTCATGCAACTTTTTTTCCTTAAAAAAATTTCAACATGTGAAGCCAAAATGCACAATGCACTTTTTTTTTAATATGAACTAATTTTTCTGGTCCTCCTTCACACCTGTTTACATTTCCCATGTACATAAATAATGTGCTAGGACAAGTATATGAGAGAAGACTGATTGCCAGGCAATGAGATAATTTTAGAGATATAAGTGACCAGACACACAGTTTTTAAAAGCAGCCACACAAATATTTCTGAAATGTGGCAGTGGCCTCGTCACCAATCATTCGTCAAAGAAAAATACATACAAATAAAATTACACAAGGAGAAAATATTTCAATCACTCAGACTGCACAAATTGCTACCCATGAAAGGTTTAGATCAAAAATAATATACTCTTTTTAATTTCTTGGGCATCTGCTTTCAGACACTGTTTGACAGACATGACTTCAGGAGGACTTCACCGGCCCCTCTAGTGCCCTGCCTCCCCCAACCGTCATGACAGGCTGGCTTTTTCATACTTCTTGGCCAGTGACTGCCTTTCTATCAAAAAAATTTGCTTTTGTTAATTAAAAAAAAAATATCATGCCTAATCATACAGTGCTCCCTGAATACAGCCAGAAGAAGGACATCGGAGTTCAGAGCTGTCAGGGTGCTGTCTCTGCGTTCGGAGAGGGAGGGTAACGTTTTTAGTTCCCCTCACCGGCCTGTGGCTTCAGTGCTCGAGACGGCTGCTTGGCTGCTTTTCTCTTGGCAGTCCTAAGAGAGTCAAAGGTTCCTTATCTTTAAGTGGGGGGTTCATTAGGTAGTGGTGAAGTCTGTGCCTACCATCCTTCACAGGTTTGGAAGCCACTTGAAATGACACCCTGAGATTGGGCATATCTGTCCTGAGCAGTGAGCCCAGGGGTCCTCTCCTCAGGGAGGGGAAGTGACACACACGTAAGGCCAAAACCCAACGCCAAACACACAAAGTCTGCCTTGTTCTACGTGTGTATGCACAGTATTCCTGTTAACAGGATAAAAACTTCTGAAAGTTTTCAAAATGTGTTTCAGCAATCATTGTAACACAGAGGATGCGCTAAAGGACCCTGACCTTGGAGGCATTCACAGTTAACGGGGCACACCGGACCCGGCGGTCAGTGCCCGCACCAGGACAGTGAAAGCTCGTGATAAAGCTCTTCTCTAACTTTGGTAAAAAGTATCTGGTTCTGGAGTCCTGAAGAGAACAACAGAGCTGCAGAATACATGTCATGCTTTCAATATCAGTCAATCTTCTAATTTCCCATCAAAAAGCGGAAGGCTGCCCAGAGCAGCCTATTTGGAGGCCAAGGGTTGCCTTGGAGAGTTCTCATCAGCATGCAAATGCGAGAGCAGCCAGGCTCCAGAAGCTACTAAGCATTCTGCTGAGATGCTCCGATCAGAGGACTTGCTGTGAGGGCCCAGGACACTCCCATCTCCACATGGTGGTCAACAGTGGGTCCTTCCTGAAAGCAGGTCTTAATATGAGAGACAGAGGGCTCAGGGTGACCCCTCTGTCCAGTCCGGCCACTTCAGAACCTGGCTGGTTGGAGGTGCCCTGGCCTCTGGGTGGGTGTCCAAGAGCATGGCCAAGGATGACAGAGGGACTGCTGTGACCCTGGACAGGCCTAACTGTTCCACTCTGACGCCCTCCTAGGACTGACGTGCTGGCACCTGACCTTACCCTGACCTCAGCGCTCCACAACTCTCTACGTGTAGATGCTGTTACTTCGGGGGGCGGGGCGGGGGGCGGGGCGAACCAAAAAACTCGAAGTGCCCCTTCCCCTCCATTTTCCTGCTCTGCTCTGTGGCTGCCCTGCTCTCTTCTCTCCTCTGTCCCTCCCTCAGCTCTTTTAGATTAAATGATAATCTGATTTTGGAACATTTTATAAGACATTCTGCCTGAAATCTAACAAACACGGGGGCGGGGTGGGGGGGAGAGAATAAATGAGATGTCACATGTCTGAAAGGAATGGAACATTTAAAGATGAAAAACACTTGAGGGTTGCCTTTCTTACTCCAAAAGTAGCTCCCGGGGTCTATAAAACTGCAAAAGCAAAAAGCTATTTTGTTAGTTTGCTTGTTTCTTTGAGCTCCGGAGAGAAATTCTCAGGGCCCTCAGGTTGGAAGCACTCTGGATCCTCCTTTGTATCCAATACTCCCCATCCCACCAAGCCGCTGCCGCTGTCTCTGAACTACAACTCCACGCAGGGCAACGTCACTCAGAAACCCAGCGAGGCAGCCCTCTTTCGCTGAGACTGGACAGTGCTTGTGTACAGCAGACTACCAAAGAATCGAGGAAGTGGCTAGCATTATATAAAGAAATATAGTAAGCAAAAGTCTGTCTCACTGACAAGCAGACCACGTGAATAGAATATATATTTTAAAAAATTATACATACTTTTAAAATGAAAATTATAAACTTGTAGCAGTTTAGAAAGGCGATACGCTACAGGTCTACTATAACCACAACTGCACAACAATTTACAGATTCAGTAAAAGGCAAGATGAAATCCACAGGGCCATCGCTCAAACATGACAACCCAAGCGAGGCAGGAGAGACGTGTGACAATACCAAATGGAACTTTCATTACGCAAGGAGCTGTTATCACCACCAATATTATCCCCAGAGGAATTATAAAGCACGGTGCACAAGGGGGCCCCTGGTGGCCAGTGGTGGGTGCAGGGGGTCAGGCGGCACGTCTGTGTTGGTGGAAGGGAGTCAGTGCCCACTGCACGGTGCAAGCGTCAGCGAGAACTCATGCAGGGAGGTCTGTGCTGAAATACTAGCCTGTATTCCTAACGTCCATGCAGAATGTTCCACTTTTGTACTGTACATGATAAAATATATTTATACACTTATATGCCTAATGCGTTTTATGCAAAGAAAAGAGTCTTCATATATCACTTTGGAGAAGTATGCATATGCTGTGCTAATCAGAGCATCGTTACATCATTTTCATATGTACCAAAGGTGTTCCCAACTACTCTGTCTACCAAAGAAGGTAAGTAGTATAATCCCACGTTCCAGGTTAAACAGAAAGCACCTATACAGCACCGTAACTTTTTGAAAACAAAACAAAATGAAGTCCATAGAAGCAGGAAAGTGGGAAGAAAAAAGTCAAAACTGCCCCATCTTGTACTTCCATTGTGTCACTGGTACAATTACAATCTAAGATTATATATAAAAAAAAAATCAGTTTGTATACTACTGCCTCTCACTCATACACATCTAGTAGATCAGATTATACACAGCAAGGTTGAAAAATCAAGGGTGTGTATTTAGGAAAACAGTGAACTTAGAGCTCCCCCTCCACTGACTTGGGTTTGTACTTTTCACACATTTCTCACTGTAGGCTTAATGCTCACCTGCAAGTTCATTTCTTCTACAAAGCAAAACAGGACTTTTTTTCTTTTCTCCTTCAAACTAAATCCTTTAGTGGCATTTGGCAATTAGTGGACAGCTGAGCTGATTTCTTTCCTGAAAGGATCCTAATTTCCAACCAACACAGCATCACTGTTTGCTACATTAGCCGAGGATACTGGCAGGAGACCACAAACCCCACCCCACTGACCCGGCAACTGCAGACCAGGTGCTGGGGCCGCGCGCGCCTGCCCGCCACCCTGACTCAGAGCTGAAACGCACTGCGCCGGTGGCCCGGTTCCATCCGTTGTGCCTGTACAGGGTGCAGTCCTGGACTGGGGCGCATAGCAAACAGTTGTGCCATTGTTCAGTTCTTAGAAAAGGATAGTTTTCTACCAAACAAAAGAAGAAAGAAAATCCCCCTCTAGATTATGTAATTTGTTAGTTTATGGAGTTCCACGGGCTCAAACACTTGTGATGCCCAAAGCCAAAATGGTAACAGGTACCTTTTCCTTCTGTTTTTAAATTTGCCAGGGGAAGAATGGTTAACATTTTAACAGAAAAATACAGCAAGTTAATGTATGTGAAAAACTCAGAAAGTCAAAGGAAAACAAACACAAAACAACACTTAGAACATCCCATAAACCATCACGGTATTAAAACACCACACAGTCACCAACAGGGGCTCACGGTGTGCTCTGACGGAGGGTGGGTGGTGCTGGCAGGGTGCTGTCCTTCGCTGGCAGGTGGCGCATCACCCCGTACAAGGAAGATTTGCATACTGTAGATATAGAGTTCTGTTCCAAGGGTAAGTGCTTCACCTGGGGTAAGGGGCCATAACAGTCTCTGCTGGGTTAGGAAAATGGCATGGGATTCACAAAGGTGTTAAGCTGTAAACGGTATCACTGTCCACTTGTCGAGAGCAGATTTGGCAAAGGGTTTTCTCTGTAGGTCTTGTGTCAGTTTGAGGGTCTACAGGAGGAGAAAAGAAAACCAGAAATGGTTAAGGGCATTCGAATGGCAAGAGTGGGCAGGTACCTCATGGTCACATTTCATCAGCCTCCCATCTCCCTACCCCCACCTCCTAGCCAAGGGGACCAGCTTCAAAGATCTCAAAGCCTAAGGACGATGTAGGGAATCAACTTACCTTATTTCTCTGCTTGATTGCAAAATGCTCTCAAGTTGAAAAAGCTCAAAGGAAATGGGGTCATTCACTTTGGGAGATTATAAAAGATGAGCAAAATTAGGGGTGTTTTAGTGAACCCTTTCAAGTAAGGGACACCCAGGGTGCAGGCGGGATGTTGCTCTAGTTTTTTGGACCAGGGATTTTCTGGGACATGGGACTTCTATGCTAAAACCAATGAAGGTGGTCACTCTAAGCAAACCAGCTCTGCTCTCTGGTTCTTTCCCACTGGCTACGTGGACTAATTGGCTTTGCTTACCACCCCTTCCATTACTATCCCAAGGGAGATGAAATGACTTTCTCCACAAAGGCTTAGTAAGTCTACACTGCTGGTTGGAGGTCATCTTACTTCCCCCACTAAAAAAGAGGTAAGTAATCTTTACGTGGGCTGTCTTAGGAATTTGCTTTTTATATTAAAAATCTACAGAGGAAAGAAGATTATGTAACACACACACATGGCAAAAAACCATCTCTCATGAAACATCCCTTTAACAATTAACAACACTATTATTTTGATTCTAAAGGTCTTCAGTGGGAAGGCACAACAGGGGTCCTCTCAGAGCATCTAACTTACACAAGTCTTATCAGACTTCACGTGACCACTGAGCCTGGAGAAGTTACAGGACATTTTTAAAAAGTACAGATGACCCCTGAACAATGTGGAACTTAGGGGCGCCAAACCCCTGGCACAGCTGAAAATCCACCATTAACTTTGACTCCCCCAAAACTTACCTACTAAAAACCAGTAACAGAAATAGTAGATTAACATATAACTTGTAAGTTGTACATATTATATGCTGTATTCTTACAATAAAGTTAGCTAAAGAAAATGTTATTAAGAAAATCATAAGGAAGAGAAAGTATGTATATGTATTTTATATGTTCATGACATACCTTTTAAATTTTTTTTCTGGTATCTCTAGGCTATCTGCAAGTTTTTCAAATTGAAGCAAATCTCTAAAAATTTTTGAACACATTTACAGAAAGAAAAATCCACGTATAACTGGATCCATGCAGTTCAAACCTGTGTTGTTCAAGGGTCGACTGCATAGAGATGTAGCCAAAAGAACGGACGTGACAGGTCTCAAGACATAAGACCTTCTGTTTACAGAGACAGTGTCAGCTGCCGTGGTAGGAAAAATTGGCTCCAGGCCAAGAAATGGATACAAAAGTGGTAGTGAAGCAACATGAACTCACGATCTGCTCACCAGATAAGGTGAACAAGTAATGAAAAATGCATCAATAAGCTCTCACACACACATACTAACATCTGCTTCCCCCTCTTCAGAGGAGATAGCATCATGAGGCTCATGCAGAATTTTCACAAGTCCACTTGCGACCTGCTCTCTTCTGTGACTGCACTGGTTGGCAATCTCACCTTTCACTGCCAATGTTCAGAAAGACAGTGGTATTTGTAACGTTACACCCAAGGTCGTAGTTACCCCGGTTATGGCTCTAAGTACGAGAGCTGAGGTTGTTTCATTGGCAGCAGAGACAAAAGCAGGAAAAGCCCCTTCTTCCCCTATTCCCAGTATTTCGTTTCTCTGGCCAATGGCATTTTTGGAGCTATGCTTTGCTTTGTAAGGCCATGAGACAGTTTATCCTGGACTATAAAATAACAGCCTATTGATTTCAGAGGGAGAAAGGCTAAACTAGACCCCAGATCTCAGTATCTGTGAGGAACAGAGCCTTCGAGAGCCCATGCTGTCCTGTGCCTCTACCTCGGACCCCTGAGGCATGGACAAACGGGTGCAGATAGGTTTCTTTAGAAGGAAATCTGGTTTCTCCCTTCACAATAAGACTTAATAAACCACAACCTAATGTCACTACGCAATTAGTCATCAGGGGACTTTGGTCCCCAACTCTCGATCCTGGCTTACTGAGAGTGCCAAGGGATAAGCTATAAAGTATTACCTAATTCAGACCCCATCCCCCTGTTCCCATTGGTGTTAATTATTCAGCCGTGGAACTAGGATGGTGACACACTTCTTCCACAAACGCACGGGCCAAGCACACAGCTTGCTTTGAGGCTGGGGCTGGCTCAGCATAGGAAGGAAGGAGACGGAGGGCACTGCAACCCCCAATATGCCATTGTACGAGGCACAGCAGGGCATTAACCGTGAGGCCCGGGACAGGAGGCCCACACGGGGCAGGTCCAAAGCAAGAGCCGACAACAATCCCCACGCCAAATGCCCGTTCCCTCATCAAAAGGCCCAGAATCTTCACGAAGTGTCACAGTGAAAAAGGAGATGCACTGATCATCACTTTCCCTTTCTGCACAATGGGCTTGGGGCACCCATGGCGCTGAGACCTGGTACTGCCCCAGAGTCTCACGGACACGCCTCCCGCCTGGCTCAGAGCCCTTCTGTGCCTGCAGGTTAAGCCAGAGAGGCCCGGGCCCAGTCTAGAGGCAGCTCTCAAAGTTTACAGAAAAACTCCTGCTCCACAGAACAGGAAGGCGACTTGTTTTCTCTTGTTTTCGACTTGTGATGGATGGCAAACAGATTGTAAAATAACATGAAAACATAAAGGAACCAGATAAATATTGAACAGAAATACAATCATCCTTCCAAGAGGAAAACCAGAATCATCATTCATTAGGAAGACCTTACGATTAAAAATAGTCATAAGGAAAGCAGCCCCTCATCTGCCTTAGATTTATAACCAGTCAATGTCTGCATGTTTACCTGACTCCACCAAGCACTGAAAGAACAGAGGGAGCACATTTAGGAGTGAGACCAACCACTGAGCTGTGAATTTAATGATACTGAGGTTGGGTACAAGTCTCCTAGATTTTAATGAAGCTCCCACCATTCTTACATTGTTCAATGTAAGACATTTTAGTTAAATGTGAGGTTTATGTGTATATGCTGATGCCCTGCTAAGTTTAAAAACACATCAGATTAAGCAAAATTTGGAAGGAAAAGGAAGCACACAGCTGAAGGGAATTACAGCTATCACTTTACAGTTACTAGGCAACAGGCCAACTAACAGTAAATATGAAAATGTCCCATCCCATCAGTGACTTTCATTAATAGGGAGAAGGTCCCCCTCATTCCCCTTCCTTGCCCAATAAGAAAGTTTGAAATTAGGCTGCCAATGCAAGGAAAATGAAATGGGGAGACCGAGTGATGAGGCCCGTTCTAAAATTATCTATAGATGCTGTCATCTGGTCTCTGGTGAGAGCAAGTCCCTCTATAATCTTGGCATCTGTAGGGAAGACAAGTTTCTGCCTAATTAGCACCACTAAGTCACATGATGTTCTAAGAAAGGGCAACGCCTCCAAAAAACTCTATACAAAACATAACAACCCCAATCAACTTTAATCTGGGAATAAAAACATAAATGTTCCTACTGCTGTCCTCCTACAACATAACTCCATGGTGACAGATTTGGAGTTTTCAGTAGTGTTTTTATCTTCTTGGCAGAGAAGAAAGGAACAGGACCCTAATACCAAATATGTCACGGAAGGAAAAGAGCCAGTCGGATGAAACTTTTGTATCCACAGACCCAGGAAGGCAAGCCACTGCTTTCCTAGCTAAAACCAAAAGATGTCTGGAGGAAAGTTGGCCTGAAAAACAAAATCAAAGTGAAACACCACTTTTCCTCACTCTTCAAACATAAGGATAATTGAAGCCAAACTTGCAACCCCTGGGGCAAGTTGGGGACTAAATGTGGACATTGAGGAAAGAAAAGGAAAAGCATCGATGTTCACACAATCTGACAGGGAAGCCTCTCATTGAGTTCAGAGGACAGGGAGGCGTTGCAGAGTGTAAATGTTTCTGTCCCAGAGTAGAGAGCGAAGCAATGCCTGCCTGCCACCATCTTGGCTTTGTTCCAGAGGTACCTAAGGGACACCCAATTCCTCCTGTGAGGCACAGCAACCTGCCAACGCCCACCAAGGCTTTTGTAGCTGATGTCACCCCAGGAAAAACAACATTTTGGGGGGTCTAGGGTAAGCAGCCACATCTATTTCTGAAATGGAAGTGGTTCCCTTGGAGGTCACCTTCACAGGCCACACATGAAGCAGCTTCAGAAAACATCCTCATGGATATGAGACCGGCTTAATTTGGTTATTTTTCAGTATCTTCCGGGTTGGAATGGTGATAGAGAGGAATCAGGGCACTGCATAATAACCAGCCGCCTGCCTGTGATGCTGGCCCAACAGGGCCGCCCTCTACGACTGCCAGGGAAGGGGCGCTGGGAGGGGCAGCTCTAGAAAAATACAACTTGGCAAATGCTGTCAATTTGCCAGGTTTTAGACAGCAAAGTTTACAAGGGAAACAGGACAGGTACAGAAGTTTTAGCCAAGCTGGAAGCCAACCTGTATTCAGCTGAGGAATCTTCCTGAAAAGGAAAACCTAACAACAGCAATCAACTTTAATCTGGGAATAAAACATAAATGTTCCTATTGCTGTCCTTCCCAGGAAACACAGCCCATAGGTTCTGGTGCTTTCTGATGGGCAAGGATATGCTTATGAAGAAGGTGAGGATGTTACAGGGAAGCTTAAAATAAGCTTCCTGGAGCAAAAGGTGACTCTCAGGAAGATACTGCAAAGACACTCGGCTACATGCACTGTTAAAAAAAATAAAATAAAAAAACTTACGTTTGTGTAAAAGAAAAGCTTGCTTGTATAGGTAACCCCCTTCTGCTCTCTCCCAGTAACTTCTGGGCTTTCCGATATGGCAGGGGAAGTTTGTCTGTGAAGGCTGGTGACAGGCCCCTACAGAGCCTTTGCCTCCGGACGCCCAAACCTAGACCTCGCGTGGGATGCCCCTCCAGCCGGTG